CGTTTTCAGAGCAGAAGCCTAATGCGCGGTAATCGCAAAGTGCACGGCTAAACGGCGATTGTCTGTTCTTCTACTAACGGCGATTGTCTGTTCTTCTACTCGTTTTCTATTGCCTGGGTGAAATTGATTTATTTAGTTTTGACGTCGTGTTTGCTTTCAGTGAAGCTTTTTTTAGTTTGCGTCGTTGACAGATCACACGCAAGTCCCCGCACTTAGCAGCTGTTTGATGGCTGAAACTTCCCGCATGTATTCATTAAAAGCTGATAAGAAATTTAGTCTCGTGATGAAGACAAAACAGTTGAGCACGGGAATGAACCCTTCTTATGGCTCTGGCTGGCTTTTTTAATGGAAGAATAAGCAAACCCAAGGAATGTATAGATGGAAGATTGTGCGATATTTCTGGTGAATACAGGTTCCCCGCAACGAGATGTGTCGCAATTGCAGACTTAGTTCACACGTGGCATCAGACAGCATCAAAAGCGTCATAAAGCTCAATCACTGCAGCTCGGTGTAAGTGGTCAGGAGGTATCACGATGTACTACCCTCTGTTTCAGAAAACCAGAAAGCGTCGAGTGCAGACCACACACCACAAGTGACGACGGCCTCCACAAAATGTAAATGTTTTCTGCCAATGAAATGATTAGCCTGTTGCAGTTGTATTCTATCAGTTGTCACTAATTACAACTATCATTTACCAAAATCAGCTATCACTATGAACACTACTAACCAGATTTACTTGGAGGCCGTCGTCACTTGTGGTGTGTGGTCTGCACTCGACACGCTCTTTTTGGTTTTCTGAAACAGAGGGTACTTTATGTGCTACAGTAACAATAGTTTCTGCAGGGAAAAAACTCCACGTGCAGTGGACCAACGCAATTGGGCAAATAGGAAATTGAATGCGCATCACCTCTTCTAGGCGTTTACACGATATGAAAGTGTTCTTTATTGTTTCAGATGCATTAGACTCTCTGGTTCCTTCCTCTGAACTCATTTGAGCCCAGTTTTCCGAGACTGCCGTGAAATGTGTTGCTCCGTCCGCGATTACGTCTTGTTCCGCTGCGCGAAACACACCACGCCAGACAAGGTAACTTTTGTTCCGTGATGCGTTCAGAGCTGATATCAAGCTGGTCAGTTGGAAAAATTGGACCACTCAAGCAATAGGAGCCCCCCTTACGTATAAACCTCTCGCAAAGATTTATTACAATACAACGGCAATCTGGCCCGAGGGGGTGGAATCAACCTCCGAATCCTGTTGTATATCATAGAACAAGAGGTAACACCGGATCACCGCTGTTCACTGGCATCCGGTAACCATAAACAAATACGTCGATGAACCGTGAGCCACCGTAAATACACGCACCACACGGGAATCGGCGCGAAAGCTCCCGAATCAAATGTGATGCACACTTTTGGTCAGAGATCTTCTACACGATAAATTCCATGGATTGCTGAAGTCTCGTCAGAAATACTCTAGTGATGTCTCAGCCTGAGCAACCGGTTTTCCCGCAAGATGCTCCTCAAATGGACATAGCTGTTGTAGAAAAGGTACTGTTCATACTTTGAAACATTTTTTTGCCTCTCAAAAATGATTTGATCAGTTATTGAATTGCAGATAGCACGCTTTGCCCTTAATCACACACCTTATTGCTACCTGGAAATGACGAAAAAACTAAAATAGAATTGGATTTGGAAGCTTTGGGGTTGACTTCGCAGGAATTCGAACCGTTGGTGAGTTACAACTTCATCATTTTTCCATTTCTAACTTTGATGTATAGTAAATTCAGAGAGACATGATTTCTTGCTGTTATTTGTTCATTCTGAGCTTCAAATTCTTTTTTTTTCTGACATTTTTCACTGATTTGTGGAGATATCTGATTTACCATCGACTTGGTAGGCAGTCACTATCGAATGTTTTGAAGGTTGCCCTTTAGTAATGCTATTCAATATTGTCTTATTTCAGTTCGTGATGTGATTCTATCTCTCAGTTATTTACCAGTCCTTCACTTCCTCTCTTCTTACATTGATCTCGTTGCGGCTATCTGGTACTCGGATGGACCATCCGTTTATACTCACTTAGCTCGTCGCACGGCTTCGGACAAGGCTCGAGTGCAGGATATCTCGTGGAGTATTTGGACTCAAACAGCGAGGTTAGTGACTTCACAGATGGTGATCCACCTTAAGATAGATAGATCATACAGTGAAGTTATCAGAAGTCCAATTTTCCGCCCTCTAGCCCATGAGATATCCCTTAGGCGGAGTCCACAAATGAGCGTGATAAAAGCCGAACTGAGAGCTTTCAGTTTATTTGATTGATTTCTCCAGTCAACAATTTTGGATAAATGTTGATATGAATTTGGGTGCTTATTAATTGACTTTTAACGAAAGTGAAACTGTTATTTTTATATTCATAACTCGGGCACCCACAATCATACTTGATAATCTAAAGTTAGTCGTAAACGGACCGAAAGAACTACTCTGTTCCCAGATGAGCTGTCGCCATGAACAGATCGTTTACGCAAGTCACATCGCGAACTATGCTCGTTTTGAGGCGATTTGAGAGAATTCAAAACTAAAAACCTTGATTACTTGATAAAGTATTTGCTGGAATGGAGACACGGTATTTTTCATTTTTCTCAGTTATGGTTGGGGGTTCTTGCAGTCTTCGATCCGATTCTTTTGCGTTAGTGTGCTGTTCTTCATTTTCCGCGCCTCCCCCCCCCCCCCCCCCCCAAAAAAAAAAACGCAACAAATTACAGTGTATCTATCGGATTCGCTGATTTTTCAATTCGATTTGCGAGAGTATAGCCCACACAACTTCTCTTTTGTGCCACGCCATCGCCCATTTTATTGGGTTGATGCATAATTATTGCGGCTTTTTCCAACAGATTTTATTCAGCGAAAACGACAAAATTATTCAACAAAAACATGTTTAAATAATAACCCCGGAGCGTGGTCACCATCCCACAAGAATGCTTCCCATTTGCTTTTCTCTCGGTGATTCCACGGATAAAAAAGTCACGATTCTCGGAGACGATCCACGCTCTAACACTGGCCACCAACGCATCCAGCTCATCCTAAAATTTGTTCGTTTGCCAGTTTTTCAACGTCTGATTGAATTGCTAGTCTGTAGGAGCTCCGCTCGGTAGATGTGGCGTTTTAAACTTCTTGAACGATCCTTCGTCTTGGGTTTTGCTAATTGCTCCCTCGCTGAGAAGTTTGATGAGATCGCGGAATGGCCCCGCCGCCTTCTAACATTTATAGAAGTAGTAAGCATGTGTGGTGAAGATGAGGACAATTTCCGATAAGCATTTCTGTTTAATGGAAGAAAGAAGAATATTCTCATGAAAAAAAACAAACTCAAACGCCAATCTTCTCGAGAAAAGAACGCGCGAAAAAGCCGCAATAATTATGCATCAACCTAATAGTTTTCCTGCTCAGCCCATAAAATGAAATCGATGTCTAAGATTTCCAACGATTTTTTCTGCCATTTTCGACTCTCGATTAACCTCGGCATATTGATGGTTGAATGGTATTGCTTTGTTGAACTGCACACGATTGTCTCTAATTGTCTAATGCCTCCAGTTATTGGCCCAACTTTTCGATTTTAGGTGCTCTGAAATTTCCATTGTTCATAACTGAATGTCGTGTTATGTCTAGAAACATTTGTTTCTCGGTAAAAGTAGACAATCAGTACATTTAATCTGCAAAATATTAGCAACCATTCAGCATATTTTGAATTGTCCACACTCTAAAACAATCTAAATTTCCCGATAAAATACTTTCTGAATTTTATAGCTCAACGGATTTGAGTAGAATTTCGAAAGTTCCATGGAGACTGGCAAGTTTTAGCTAGAAATTTGACCCTGCCTACCGCAATCAAAACGTCAATTAATTCAGCAATCTTTCGTTTCGTAATCTCATCCCTGAAATTCATGTGTCTTACTTGTTGAGTATTTTTATTGATATGCTCTTGATAAGAGTGGACAGCATGGAATTCGACTGAATATCGTAACTGATAAAGGAACAAAATCTGTGTTTCTCACTCCATCTCAAGTCGCCAATCTTCACAAGGAAACCGTTCGGATACAAACGGAAATAGATAAGTTGCTAGAATAGGCCCAAATGTTCACCTTTTGTCACCTCTCAGATTGCAACGAAAGAAAATGGCGGTCTTGTAGTTGTGTATGTGTAAACAAGAAATCGATCACCGACGCCGTTTATCGCAGGTCGGAGAAATTGTTGTCGGCCTCGTGGCCTAATGGATAAGGCGTCGGACTTCGGATCCGAAGATTGCAGGTTCGAGTCCTGCCGGGGTTGAAATTTTGCAAACATTCGTAAATTGCTGTTTTCGCTTGATTGTACCTGGGTTCGCGATCCAGATGCAGTTATATTTAATGCGCTATCTTTGGAAATGCACAGCATATACGGGCTGATGATTTGTGCAAGTGTTATCCTTATCAATGTAGTTTATGCGTTTTTATTGATAGATAAACAATATACTGACTGATTTGTTGTGTTGCGACTTAGTAGTTTATTAGTCTCTTTATTTCTATAACTATGCTGTTGTCGCTGATGTCTAACTACAAACTTAATCGGCAAAGTTTTAGGGTTGTGAATATCGTTTTAATGGAAGCACTTGTTTAATCGCTCCAAATTGTGCTAGATGTCGTGGTGACTTAGGCGGAATGGTGGCGCATTTGGTTTTTTTATGGTATTATGGCTCCCACAGATACTTGTAAGTATATTTATCACGGCTACAAAAGGCACACGTACAAAAGAACAATTGAGTGTTTCCACGCATACAAAGAAGAGTGTGCTTATAAAAATTCCAATACAAAATAGTTAACGTTGGGTTCAGTCTCACAAAACTATGACTCTTGATTCCCAATAGTATGGTGTCTGAGCCTGTGACCGAGTAATCGGTAGTTTTTTGCAAAGCTTATATAGTCACTACCAGCTCTTTATATATAGCTCTTATCGCGCAGATTAGTTTCAGGCCGCGCTAAGGATACTCCTTCATGTTAGCTATTGGCTTACAAGGTTATTCACCTTTACGAAGGTGTTCAGTTAGAGAATGCCATAGAGTAGAATTAGGTATCCGGCCGTACCTCTGTCACACTTAAGGCTGGTGTCAGAGTCGCCGACTAGTCAGCTCGGTTTCGCTTGACTTTCCGCGATTGGCGGATTTCACTGCGACGCAAAATTTGTCAAATGTGAACTTGAAACACTGAATAAGAAACAAGGGGAATCAATGAGCAGTTGTCATTCAGCCATCACTATCAAGCAGAAGTGGCGGCAGGATTGGAGAACACCTTGCAGTATTGATCGGGCACTTGTGATTTCCGTGACCCGTCGCGTGAATCGCGCAAATCGCGAAAATCAGCGAAACCTGCGACGGATCGCGGACTCTGACACCAGCCTACAACCGTTGGGACAACAACGATAAATCAAAGAGTACCGTACACATATAACAATTGTAGTCTAGGGTATTGAAAAGAAAGTGCTGGTTCTGGTGTGACTTACTGAAAAACCTGGTTCAAAAAAATCGTTTTTTATGAGCGTTCTAAACATTTCGAGAGAGCACTGAGGATTGGGTAGAAATCAAAGAAGATCTTGTTTTGCATGTTGCTGCTTTACGAAACGCTTTATAAGAAATCAAAGTTGCTTAATCGTGTGCCGTGGTACAAATATAGTGAAAATTTTTATTACAGCTCCACTAGAAGTCAAAATTCTTGGAATTTGATGGTTTTTATAAGACTATTGTAGATAATATTAATAACTTCGTATAGCATACATTATACTGACTGATTGATTTCATACATCATAAAACTCTTTAAATTACCTGAAAATTTCGATATACCCTAGGAAGTTCTCATTGGGGCGATCACAGTCAAAATAACTACGAAAAATATTCGAATTGAAACGTCACAATTCCTTGACTACCATCTGTTTATTTCCCGCTTTATTCGCAGGACCAATGCGCATCATATTACAATAACATGTCCGTGTGCCATATCGGCGTTTCTGCACGGAGGAAGGACGGTATGGCCGAGCACGGCAAAGAGAACTTAACATTTCTTATTAAAAATAAAAAAAAAATCAAAAAGGGGTACTGAAGTTTAACTCTTTTTCTATAAACACGATCTGGGACGGCTGATATCTTCTGTAAGTTCTCCACGAAGTTGTTAAGCAGACTTTATTGGCTAGGTTTCGGCGTGGTGCTTGCTGTGTGTCCACTAATGCTGTTCGCAGGGTCAACCCTAGTTGCCACACAAGTAGCAGGGGTCAGTAATTTGATGAGTTGGATAGGTGGGGTGTACTCTTTGCCATTTAGAACAGTTGCCATGAATGAGTGAGGATGTTTGTGGAGGTTTTTTGGCGGGAGAAAATTTTTGACTTTCCGCCCCCCGCTCGACGACGGGATTTTGGAGGAAAAAGTGGGCGGAGTTTGGTGGGTTGAGTGATACCAGAATTAAATACTATAGCGAGGAATATGGTGGTCGAGGGTCGAGAAGGGGGTCGTACCAAATCCACCTTTGGGGAGGGGGGTCGTAAAAATTTTTCGAAAAGTAGCAACGATAGGACCGACCCTGGTTCCGGGTGTCTCTGGAGTTCCTGATAAGTTATGGTCAGTGGCTCCTTGTACTCGCTTGATAGCCTGTTTTGTACGTTAGCTGTGGTGCCTGATATGCTGTTTCGAACGCTCACAACCCTGCTTGAGAGATTTTGTCCTTATCGTGATAGGAACGATTTCCAATTGGTCAGTGAATTCGAACAAACTACGAAGTTTTTGTGAAGGATCTACTCTTTTAATTCTTTGATCTTTGCAGGCTCGGAGACTTTCTTCACATATTAGGGGTGTGGCCGCGGAGAGCTCGGCCGAGTTGGTTGTGCTTCCGCTGCGTCGGGATAAAGCTTGAACGCACCCCGCTCTCTCGTCAGCACGGTTCGCGGGCACCTTGAGTGAAGCTCACCGCAGCCACACCCCAAGTTGTGAAGAAAATCTTGGTGCCGTTTTTGCAAAAAAGGATAGTTATGGAGAATCACTAAATCAATCTGCGCACCGGTGTAATCTCCTCGTAAGGGGTCCAATCCTTTATACGCATCGATTCGTTCACTGTAGCGTAGTATGCTCTTTGCCTGTCTCCAGCAAAACTTATGCCAACTCTGAAAAATGAACATGAGGATATGAAATGAGAATAGCCGCAACAATGAAACCTTAACATACACGAATGAGGTCACGAAGCGAATGGATTCGAGCTTGTAACCGCATTTTTTGGCGACAGTGTCCCTGACTCGTTGGTCGATATCCTCGACAGAACTGCCGGTTTTGTAATGCCCACTGCACATTTCCAGAGTATAAGCCCACTCCAATGGTTGTGATTTCCACTCAATCGTATCGAGCGTTTTGGTCGGATCGGCAAGATGTGCAAGATGACGTGCTCGACCAACCAAAGCAGCTCAAGGTAAAGATCATTAATTAGATGATCGAATTGCGTATCAGACTGTGAGAAAATTATCGAAGGAAATGACAATTCAGTCAGAATCGAGATAAAAAATAAGGAAGATATCGTGGTCTCAATACTGGTATAAGGGGGGGGGATCTGTACCCGACAGGAGGCCCGTCGCGCGGCAAGAAGGCAGAGTCAGCGGACGAGTCGCAGCGCGTGATGTGCGATGTAGGACGTACAATGGTACATTCTATTTAACTTGACGCGAAATCACTACAGTACGCGCTGCGACTCGTCCGCTGACTCTGCCTTCTTGTCGCGCGACGGGCCTCCTGTCGTGTCCGGGTGAATGTGGCGCAACAGTTCATATCGCCCAAAGTAGCACAATCTTTTGCAGGGAAGGTGAGCTCCGGAGTAGGATGAAAATATTTCACCCAGTGAACCTCCTTCCTCTATAATAAATATTTCACGCAGTAGATCTCCTCCCTCTGTAGGAATTGGAATTTCGGTAGGCGGCAGCAACTGTCGCACTGCATGCCACCCTTACTGGGTGAGACTCGACACCATTTTCATTATTTTATACATTTAGTATAGAAAAAGAACGTTTAAACTCAAAATACCTGGCCGAAACCGCTGTGTTAGCAACAATTCCTTGGTAGTCTCATTATACAAGAGAATCGAAAAACTGTCGTCACACAAAGCCAGATCCCAAGTTCGACAAAGAGAACCCTTGAAAGGAGGCCATGTAAGCAAAGCTTCTAACTGGATTGAAAAGTGTCTAGTGACCTACAAGTGTGAATTTCATCCGATGAGGAATAAATCGTTTTGATGATGGCATCTTCTCAAATTTGAAATCGGTCATAGGCATTATGTCGCTTGGCCTCCATTTATAAGCATCGGTCTGGAAAATTAGGAGCATTCAGATGGATTTCAATTCTGCACTGAGTTTGTGGCCTTACATGTTATTCACCGTTGGCTGAATTATCTTCGGGCACGGATTGTGATCGAACCACCAAAGTAACGCGTAAAGCATGGATGGGGGACCCGGGCAGTAATCGTTTTTGACGAACTCGAGAACTTCAGACTCGCTCAGAAAAACCTGAAAGACAAACAAATTGTTAATAAGAAATGAAAAATCAGCACATACATAAAACACGCATCAGAATTGCGGCGATTAGGCATGAAAATGTCATGAAAATCTTAGAAACATACAAAAAATAAGATTATATTCTTCGAGGTATTTATATTTTCCTACAGGTGTGGTTCGCTAGACCAGAAAACGACGTTTCCTCTTTTCGCAGCGCAAAACTTTTTTTCGCTACAGGAACCTCAGGTCCTTGGTGAATAGTGGTGGACCTGGAATTCCCGCAGCGCAAAAAGGTTCGTGCTGCGAAAAACGGAAAAGTCGCTCTGTCCTAGCGAACCACACCCCACCTGGCATGATCAACTCGTGGGATCCATCATATTTTCTCACTTACTTCAAAAGTTGCTCCAGGACTTGGAAAAAAGAGCGGACAACTGCTACAATGTAAGCGAACCTTTGTAATGTATTCGCCTTCTTCATTGTTTCCTCCACCTTCAGTTATTTTCATGGAATCATCAATCTCTGTGTAATAGAGGTACTGTATTCCACCAGATTCATGAGCAGCAATACTGAAAACTCGAAAAAATGGGCCTATTAGATTGAACTTTCGAAAAAGAAAGCACCAACGTACCTGAAGGTGGCTATTAAATGAATATCCTCATTTTTGAACGGCATAACCACATTCCTCTTCGATTTCTTCTTTCATTATATCAACTGTGGGAATATTCTAAAGGTGAGGTGTTGCTGAGTTCAGAAATAATCGAAATAAAAGCTAATGATGACCTTATCGATCAAACCAGCGCACAACTCTAGAGTGTACCCATGTTGGGCCTCATAGTCAGACCACCGAATTTCATCGAGCTTCTTACCAAAGTTCTTCCGGTTGTCGTAAAATATGCCCCACAAGAACCGCTGAAGTAGATAGACAAAAACTAAGAAAAAGATTCAACAAGGGTAAAATATTGATCACCTGGTCGAAACTGCCTCACAAAAACGAACTTCTTCAAACCCGTATGGTAAAGAAGTGTGGCCACACTTGCAGTGTCGAAGCGCAAGATCGAAACTTCTTCTTTGATTATTCTAAACGAAAGGTATAGAAGTAAGTGGGTAACGGTAAGGGTTTGGTTCGCTAGAACAAATACAACTTTTTCGTGTCTTGCAGCGCAAAACGTTTTTCGCTGCGGGCGTCTCAGTCCACGCTAACCACGGGCCGGTAGCATCCTTTCCTCCGGGGGATAATATCCCCTCTGTTCGATTCAATCTCTGGGGGACAAAAAAGCCTCCCGACCGGTTGGAGCGTCACAAGCGGACTAGTGCATTAACCTCGAGTGTTTCTAAAGCGTGCCTGACAGTGTAGAGCCAGCTCGACCCCTCAGGCGAGGTGCCGTTCATCAGTTGTGAGGCGTCAGCTACGCGTGCCGCTAAAAAGTCGTTATCTGTCCTGGCGAACCACACTCAGGATAAAAAACCTAACTTAAAAAAACCCAAGTAAGTATATCATCAAAAAAGCTCCACTTAAAGGTTGGAAAGTTATCCACTAACTTTTAGGGACGCTTAGTGGTGAGTTTTACTTCACCAACTCAACAATTAATAGGAAAATCACATGAATAATTGAAACATTTTACCTGCGTGAAGGTGAACTTGACTCCTTTTAGGTAAGGTGACACAAAATCCTCGATGAAGGAGACTTTTTCGAGTCTCTCTTGTGGAGCTGGAGACATTCGTCGAGCTCTCCTGCAACAATCATGAACTTCTCCTCGAGGCGCTTTCAAGGACGAAATATTCACCGTGAAAAAGACTTCCGACTGATCACGACAGAGCCGGAAGGTTGGTTCGAGCGGTAATTCTTCTTTAAAATATGTTTACCAGAGTTTGAAGAAAAGAGCCGCAGAATTAGCATTCGATGCAGAGAAATGAGCAGGGTGTAGTGAAGCGCTTGACTAAAATTCAAATGTCATGTACTGATCTTAACATTCACGCGACGGGTATCAATGAACACTTGACAGCGAACAGGCGGGTGAAATTCGACGTCTTAAGCGCGCTACCCACACCAGGCGTGCGTACGGCGCAGCAACAAAGGCGACAGCAACTTAAGATTGTCAGGTTGAGCTATGAGGACAAACTTAGGACACCTTTGGAGGTTCCAATGAAAGGAAAAACGTTAGCCTAACTGAGCTCGTTTCAACCATGTCGTGCTTCGGGGTTGGGGCTAGGGTTAGGAGTAGGGTTGAGTTGCTGTTTACCTTGTGTGGACGTTCCCACGTGATTGTGTTGGTTCCACTAGTATCAAGTTTTGCCTTGAAGCCGGTTCCCATCGGGGTGGGCGGGGTGATGGCCGCAAACTCGTCCTCCCCTCAGGATGGTAAAATTGGTGCAATACAACATGATCATATGCAATGACTGGCGCTAGT